TTAACAGTTGTGATCTGAAGAAGATCATACTAAGGATTTAAAAAAAATCCTTGCTTTAAAAGAAATAGCGCTTGGTAAACCACCTTTGGAGGGGGACACAGTGGTTGGGGCTCATATGTCATTAGCTGCTTTTTGAAAGCCCTGCCTCCTAGTTTCTAAACCGACAGGATACTGAAGAAGTGAAATGCCTATCAAAAAGGAAAATGTCTGTCATAAGTATTACATCTTCCCCCTGTAGGAGGATGCTTTAAATGTGAAACTTCTCTAAGCATTCCTTGAGAAAGCTGCTTAAAAAAGAAAAAGTTGCAGTAATGCTGCCTATTTTGAACATATTTCAGCCTTTCAGTTCTTGGTATGCTGTTGTCTGTGCGTGAGATCCTGCACTATCTGAGAACAGTGGTGGAAGGCTGAATGTATGTCCATTTATTTGCATCTAAGGATTTAGCTACAAGTAACGTAGACAGTTATTTAAAATATATCCTCAGGAAAAGTATTATGGTGTAACTTTTCTCATGATGAAATTCTTTAAATAAAAAATTAAAATGTTTAGTTGAATTTCACTGATGATAGTGAGCTCTGCACCTCTCTCCATGAACTCTGGAATCCTTTAATCTTTTGCATTTGCTGCAATTGCACCTACTTCAAAGCATTGCTGCAGGCTTTGGAAAGGATCCTCACACTCAGTGGGAATAGGGCGGGGATGTGAAATTCTGTCATCACTTGGAAACTGCAGCCATTTCTGAAGTGCCAGTGTGATCTATCTTTACAAAAGGGCAACAGTATTATGCAACTGATTTGGCAATGTAGGAAACCATGTCTGTATTGGCTGTAGTTTTGAAATGTTGTGTTTTTTTGTTGTGTATGAGTTTTTTTTATTTTTTTTTAAACCATAATTCTTTATACTGAAAGCACTTGACAAATAATTAGCAGGAGAGAGCTAAATATAGTATGATAATGATAGCTGCACATCTATATGGATAAATGCCGTTCTGTCTTATTGTTTTGAAACCAGCTGTAAGAAGATGAACCTGGACATAATCCAGCTGCTGATATGTGGGGTCTGGTGGTACTGGAATGTAACAGAGGATCTTGGGAAAGAGCTGGAGAAGAGGGAGTGAAGTGTTAATTTGAAGAGGTAAGGCTGTGTTAGTTTTATTAAAGAAGGTAGTCTGAATTTTGGTTGTTATCACTTGTCTGTCAACTGATCTTTTAAGAAATGAATTCTGCTTTAGGGTATGTGAAGTTTTAGGTGAGCTAAAGGTGGTGATGCCTTACAAAAAGCCAATCCCATGCTACCTCTATTAGTAGGAACAGTAGGTCAAACCCACTGCTGACTGATGTGAGGGTAAAAATTGTAATGAAAATATTTGTCATCTCTCAAAACTGATTATATTTGTATGAATACACAAAAGAATCACGTTATTCACATATACCTTAGTTTCGTATTAGCTCATATTTGGAAAAAAAGATTCAGTCATAAAAGTCTCAATCATTAATGGCATCTGCTTACACTGAGTTGTGCTTCAGCATATACAGCTGCTGCTTTGACTTGCAAAACTGCAAGACACAACTTTTTGCCGATGAATTTAAGTGTGGAAGAAGCTGTAAGATTTTGATCCTACCTAGATTGTGTTTTATTTTAAAGGCCATATTAAGAGCATTCTACAATTAAGCTTCAAAGGAATTAGACGCTATAAAGCATTTCAAGCTGCCACTGCTATAAAGAATTATAATTCTTGGGGTATAAAAAGTGACTAAACTGTTCCTGAAAGTGAAATCTAAGAAATTCAAATGCACTATAGGGTTTGTTGTTTTTTGTTTTTTTTTTCTTTTTTTTTTTTTTTTTTTTTTTTGTGGTGCAGTGCACTTACATTATGAACTCACATGGTACTAGGAACAGAAGGCAATTTCCAAGCAGCTTCCAAGGTTGGTGGAATCTATTTTTTACCATTTTTTTTTTTTAATCTAGCTAATGAGTTTTCAGATAACCTCTACCACCAATCTCTCAGTAAAAGCTGAATCAGTTGGAAGGCTGTCTTGTGTAGGTAAAATACATTTTAGAATGTAAAGCTCAAACATCTAAGTTTTGCAGTCTTACTGTGACTTTGTTGGCTCATAATGAGTGCTATACATCCATACTCTAAACTGACAGCCATCCTGATGTTAGGTGAGGAAGAGCAATTTTCAACCTAGAGTTAGGAGAAACATGGGCCACAGTGTCCAGAAGCTGTTTTTTTAAATTAGAATAGCACATTATCTGTTTGCAAAAAATAACCTATAAATATAAAAACTTTCTCTAGAAATTTATCTCCAGTCTTTAATTGCCGTTGGAAGGGAAGGAACTAGACTGCACTTTGATCTGTACTTAATAAACTTGATCTTGGTTTACACTTCCTTCTGTTATGAAAGATCAAAGGATGCTTAAAGCTGAGACCTTCTTGGATTTTGCATGTTTAATGTGATGTTATTTTGGATTTGGTGTTGGAGACAGTGCTGTTTCCTTGAGGCGATAAACTAAGGATAGGTAGCTATTAATGAGCCTTTGTGATAACCACTTTGTGTTAATGTTATAGATGCCCAAGCAGCACGTAATCTGTTCGTGCCTTGTGACTTAGCCCAGTTAACTGACAAAGATCAAACTAACCAACCAAACAAAAAGCAATAAAACAACTTATAAATTCACTGGTGCTTTATAAAAAGTACATAATCTTTCTCTACAGAGACTGTAAAATGTGTAGACAATCTATAATAATCTCAGTCAAAAATTAGTATATGATGTACCTAAAAAAAAAAAAAGTCATGACACAACATGGCCAATACTGACATGAATTAATTTATGTATGTTACTAGACATGACATCATTCAGAAGTAACAAGTGTTCCTTTTAATTAATCTTGAATAGGACACAACCTCTTACCTGCCCAGGCAAGAAGAGATTAAGAATTATTGTATATCTGTGCAACAAGGGATCAAGCTGTCATGTTCATTCCAACTTTATAGCTTTCCACATAGATGTGTTTTACAAGTATTGTAATTGCAGTGTTGTTGAGTCTTTAATTGTATTATAAAAATTATTTTAATCAGTGTAGTTTATTCTGCAGACATTCTGCTATACAACCTTATGCAACATAGACATAATGCTTTTGTTGCATGATTGTATGAATCATGGAAATAGAAAGTGGAGGATCCTATAGGCAACAATAAGGATATGGGGAAAAGGGTGCTTATAAAAACTGAACTCGAAGGTGTATATACAATTTTTTAGTTTTTAACCTTAATATGTGCACATCATCTACAACTGTTTTTGACCTGCCTATCCATAATTAAGACTGGCCTCAAAAATGTGTTTGTCTTTTTTATGGTGTTTTCTGGATGTTTCACTTTGTCCAGCATTATATATGGTAAAAATGAAGTCGTTTGGAATGGCTAGAATATTAGATAACTAGAGGAAAAAATGATAAACACAATTTTACCACCTGTTCTTTGGTTTTCCTTTGCAATTTTAATTTCCCAGATTGCTGTGTTTTGATAAGAATTGCTTGCTTTATTTCCTCAAAGCATCAAAATATAATTTTATTGGACTGTAAGCAGAGTATAGGAAGAATCTAAGAGATACAGGCTTTCTAGGTTTTGGTAGGTTTTGTAGCAACAAAACATTATCTATGGTGGTATGATTTTGCAAGCTCAGCAATCCTAAACTACACTCATATTTGGCTGTGAGACCACTGGGGAATCCTGGGTACTGTAGGCACAAATCAAAAGGTCAAGATCAAACTCTTGGCAAATATTAGACCACAGATGCTGAATGAGCAGAAAGACTTCATTTGGTACCATCACTGCTGCTGAGCTGACAGATGGAGGAAAAAAAAACCCCACAACAAAAAGCCCTTCCCCTTCTCTCCAACGAAAGCTTTCTGTTGTTCTGCTTGTGCATAATCACATTGAGAAAGCAGTACTCTAGTTGCCTCTTTCTGGAGTAATGATACAATGCATTATCTTTCCATGGCAGTAAAAAAGTTTTGAGGAAAGCCAAAAAAAAAAAGTCTCTCTTGTGATTTTTCTTATGAGCATATACTAGGAGGAGACAGATAAGAGGCAAGTGTGGACCCTGTGAATAAAACACAAGACTCGAACTTGAGCTTTGCTAATCCAGCCTAATGAGTAGCTTTTAGGCAGACCTTGTTTTTTAATGGATTTTTTTTGCAGGTTTACCAGGTGATTAGTGCCAAGAAAACCAATTGCTTTCCAGCTATTTTCGCACATTTGTGTGGTGTCTCTCCTGTCTTGATGCTAGGACATCAGAAGATTTTATTATTTTTTTTTCTTCAAGAAGACCTGGAAAGCAAAGAGTAAATTTCACTAAGGTCTAATTAGATTTTCATTGATTTGAGTCAGAAAAAGCAGTTGTTTCCCTGTCTCAGTTTCTGAAAGGTTTGCGCTACTTTATGTGTTTAGTTAAATTGTAGCTCTGGCTTCCCTGCTCTGGTGATCACATACCAGTAGTTGCATCATTCAGTTATGTTTTCAACAGAGAGGAAAGCCCTATAGATCATGCTGCTAAGGAGTTCAGTGCTCTGGCAGAGATCTTGGGCCTGCCCTCCCCCCGAAACATTTTTTTAACACCTTTCCATGTCTGAAAGAGAAGAGCAGGGCATATTAGTTCTTGGCTGCTACTGCTGATTTTCATACTATAGCTATGGTGATGCCCTATAAACATCTCTGAAGAAAGCTAGTGTCCTAATAGAAAGAGAAAGCTAACAGATCTTTGTAATGTTCATAGACTGACCATAGGCTCCTGTCCAGAAGAGCTCGGCGTGATGTACCACATCAGGCAGGCAGAAGAGCCACTGTGATACGATATCCTATGTGCTGTTAACATCTACTCTGCTCTTTCAGCTGAGTGCATCTGAGGGAGCAGCTTGTGCCGTTAACTGACCTGCATTTTAATGCTTGCTTCCATTCCCATTCTTCAAATACAGAAATTTATCAACAAAGCCCAGTAGACTTGGCAGATTCTGACTTTATTCATGAAGGCATATCTGATGTTCCCTGACAAATTGTTCCAAAGAAACTGTCTTGCAAAATACAGTATCTGCCAGTTTCTTAATACCAAACTGTATTCCTATTAGAACATAGTGTTAATGATTTAATAGAAAATACAATGCCTGGTGCAGAGTGGATCTGAAATCACTTAGCATACTTGATTGTTAACCGAGCTAACTGTCCTGTGAGTGCGTTGGCTGCCATCTGTCCATTTACTTGACAGCCTTGGCGGGGGGGAGATCTTGAGAGCTGGCAGTGATCCAGTTTGCTGCAGGTCTGCTTTCTAGTGTTTTTGTAACAGATGTTGTGCCACATGCCCAAAGCTGCTGCCTGTAAGCTGCTGTGTGCTCAAATTGTTAATTTTGGGGGTGCCTGACTGTTTTCGACACAAAATTTGCATTTATTTTAGAAGCCTGTTATGGACTGCCTTTGTTATAACAGTAATCTGATGGAAGAGCCACAGGCAAAACCTCTAGGCTTCTGTCACATGTTTTCTGATGACTTCAGCAGGCATTGGATTGGACCGTGACTAGCCAGTTGGTAACATTTTTCATCTTTTCCATTTAATCCTCTGTGTCTTGAAGTACAGCATTTATAAACCACTTCCTGTGTAATTAGGGAGCCTTCAAGTTTGCAGTGTGCTTTTGAGTAATTCAGTGGTCCCTGCTTATCCAGGATGCTCCAAAAGTACTTATATACATAGACATGTACCTCTTATGCACAGGCAAACTAGAAATTACACTGAGTTTTTCTTCCTCCCTTATCTTCAATGCATAATTTCACTGTAAGCCAGTTGATCCTAAATTAATGTAAATCAACCAAGTTGAGGTGAGGCTTTAGAAACTGCCGTGGTTTTCAATTCCATGATTAAAATGCCTTGCTCCTCCTTGTGAAGCTTGGTTGTTGTCAGCAGAGTAGCAGGAGGGAATTATCATCTTCCTGCAGCAAACCCTGCTGCTGCTGATAGAAAAGATTTGTTCTCGCCTTCCTTGCTTTTCATTAAGAAAAAGGAAAAGGGGGAAAAAATGGTTAATTAGGCAACGTAGCATTCAGCATTGCGTGTATCTGTATGCTTTTTACTTGTCCTCCATTTCAAAAGGTTTGCTATAAGAAACCAATAACATGGTTGTCCACAGGATCTTTCTCCCAATCTAGTTTATATATCCACTTGATCACTGTGTAGTGGACTGGCTGTATGATTTCTTGGAGGATGAAGGATGGTTTGAGTGTGACCGTTCAGTTGTAAAAGCAATTGCCCATTGATTTGCTGTTGATTCTGTGTAAATAAAATATAGTAAAAGAGCTTGACCTACTTTGTGTAGGGAGAGTAGCATGGGAAGCTTTCCAATCTCTGTCATTCATTTATGACCTTGCAAAGGAAAACTTTTAGGCTGTTTCTTCAGCATGTGCCCTAACTTGCCTTTGTATGTTGTCTGAGCCTCTTTGAGCTTAAAATATTTGGTTCATAATCTCTGCTTTTTAAAAATACTAATGGAAGGTGTACAAAATAAAATCTGATCACAAGACTGAATCTTCTTGATTAGTCTTTGTTGTTCAGTCTGTTAGGTACCATTTGCCCATCAGGGAAATGCATCCCGTGTGAGAGAACAGTGCTGGAGTGCCGCAGAAGTGATCATATTTAGAACACCCTGAATTTTGGAAAAGGTGTTCATGTTCTATTTAGCTAGAATACTGACTAGGTAGTTAATCATAATTAGGATATTGGGCTGAGAAATGCTACTAGTTCATGTTGTGTATGCCGACATCTGTTACTCAGCAACAAGTGTCATACTCTTTCCAGATGAGTTATTAGCCATTGTTAAAATGACAGGTATACAGTAAAAGTTTAATGCCTATGAAATGACCTGGAAGGCTGCACATACCTTAGCATACAGAATATAATTCATGGTAATAGAGATAAGCATTCTAGAGTATTTATGATGATTTTAAAAACTCCCCACAAAGTACTGCCATGTAAAAATGAAACAAATAATTTAATTTACTGTTCCAATAATGCATGCTTTACAAATGTACATGCTGCAGTTTACGGATGCATTTAGCTGAACAAGGCAACAAATGTTTTCTGCTGTGAAGTAATATGAGGCAGTGTATTTGTCTACAGTTGAATACGTGTAGTTGCTTTCCTGAAGGTTGGAAGTAATCTGATTAAAGCAGAACGAGACACTGTTACAACATCAAGATTCTAGTAGAGAGCAGGCAGAAAAGCTTCACTTAAATCAGATGAAGATACAGCATTTATCTATTTTAACTGATAAAATACCACACCTTTCTGTAACTACTAGCACAGGAGCAGAGTTAGAGCAAGCTGTATCTAAGACAAGCATTTTCCATACTGTACATAGTTTAAGTTACATAAAAACAAGTGTCTGCAATATTTCTCTAAAATATAGACATCAAATTCTATAATAGTTTCATCAGGGCAGTTTCTCTGATTCTTACCTGTTTAATCCAGAGACAGATGTTGACAGTTCCGGTGCATTACTGCTTGTGCCAGTGCTCCAAGATGCAGCTCGATTCTCTGCGTGCTGGGTGTGCATTGGTATAAATAGTGTACTAGATCAGATTAATTGTAGTACAAATTATTTGGAAGACAGGCAATAAAAACAAAGAACTTGAAAGTTCATATAAATAAGGCTGTATAGAAGCCTTACTTTTATACCTCCTATCTATCCTTCTAATCCTAAACTCAGGCACTCTCCCTCTCCCTTGTCTTTTCTCCATTGCTTAGCAACATTCATGGGTGAACTTACTTAAAGCAGAGCTTTGTTCCCAGATGTGATTTCAGTAATATTTGTAGGCTCAAGGGTTCTGAGACGCAAAAATCAACCCCTTTCCTTCTCACCACCATTAGCCAGCTTCGTTAAATAGTCTCTCTTCTCTCCTTCTGCACCCCAGGCATGTTTCAGTTTTTGTCTCCACTGTTTTGATCTAACCAAGAGTGATGTGGGAAGGAGGGGGGAGGTTCAAATAAAGCTTTAATTATGGAGGACACTCATACAATATGTGCAACAAAGCTGTGTGTTGGGCATCAAATGGGAGTGGAAATGCAGAGTGGGTCAAGTAAAGAACTGTTATTTCTCTCCACTCAATTTGATTCTTGAAGTTGAGATTGAATAAATGGTATTTTTAACACCAACAGTTACATACTGAATTGGTATGACCAACTGCATATTGCAATATAGCCTCGAAAAATCATTTTAAGTAGGGAGAAGCTACAGTAGCTAATTGCTTCCTACATAGTTTCTCTAATTTTGGCAACACAGTGGTAGATCATCACTTCCTAGATATGTTCAGTTTGCCAGGCTAATCTGTAATCGCTCCTATTTCTGGTTTATCCATTCTTTTTCCTGTTCCTTTCTCTGGCTGTTTTTTCTGTGGTTCACTAAGCTTTTAGTCCTCAGTGGGTTTGAAGTGTGTTCTTCTTCTGCAAGCCAGATGATGTTAATGTAAGTCTCTTTGATCTTGAAAATAGCAAAGTAGACTTCTGTTGAAATGCAAACATTTCTATTGAAATATCTCTCAATTTATGTGCAGAACACTTTGTTTATACGAAAGACCTATGTAAAAGCTAGTGGTAGGTCTTCATGTCTTGTATTGCTCCAACAGTGCTGCAACCAAGTTGCTGATGTTCCATTGAAAACACCCTGTGTTTTGAAATGGAAGACTTGCCAGTCCTGGCAAAAGCTTGGAGCTTTTGTTAGGCAGAATCATCTAGTATAAAGGTTGTTATATTTAGACATCTATCATGGATTTGATGTTGACACTCATGTGAACTACCTACCTTGTGAAATCAGTAATCTGGGGGGCCCTGTTGCTCAGAAGGGAATCAGGTATGCACTCATGTGCTCCCTTGGCTCTAAAACAGTGAATAAATGAGTCACCTTAAGAAGTGGCGGAGCATATAAAATCCATTGGTATACCTCTAGCATGTTTTATAGGAGAGTCACTAAGTCGATTCTGGGAAGAGGCTGCAGAATTTTTCTGTGATGACTTGGGAAACTGCAACTTATCTAAATCTAAAATCAACTAGCCTCAGTTTGGAGAGAAACCAAATGAAATTCTGAGTTATTGTGCATTCTCTCACTGGGCCTTGTGTCATGGAGCTTTGCTGTTGGATACTTTTCTTTCAACAAGAGGTTGAATTAATGAAGGTCTGTGTATCTGTATGTGAAGCTTCTTATAAAATAATGCCTGAATGCTTTTGGTAGAGTACTGAAGACTTCTGTGATTTCTTCTTCTCTCTCTTGCATACTAGATAGTGTATTCCTTTGACTGCATCTTGTTTTTCCATGGAAAGTGTGCTATTCACTTCATAATCTTTCATGGTTGCTGTGTGGTTTCCATTTATTATAAGGAAATACCTTCTCAGTCCCTAAGTCCCACTTTTCCTATTTTTGTTTGGAAAGCTTATTTTATTATTTTTTAAAGTCAATTCTGTATCATTGAGAGGTCAAACTGATATAAATATTTTTTTTTTTTATGTAGGTAACGTGCTTTGGGGCACTCTAGCACTTCCTGTCTCCTCCATGATTATGTCCATCCCCGAGCTTTTGTGTTGCTGACAGAGAATATGATTGACACTTTCTCTATATTCCATCCCTTAAGGCAAGGTAGTGCCCCCCAATCACCACTTTCCCCACACCCAGGCTTTCACAGTTTGGAGGACGTGTTTTCAAGTAGCATAATAACTTGCAGGAAATTCTGAAGGGTGCAGCACACCTCTGAATCTAACATCCTATGGTATTAATCTCTTTCTTAGCTTTATTACAGCTCATGGATTAAGTTTAAGAATAGAAGCTATAAATCACATCTTGGTTGAAACTTTCTCTGGCTTTACTCTGCAGGCCAATTTCTTGGTGGAATATTTGATGAATATGGCTATTGCAAGTGTGAAATGTTTTTAATTCCTCAGAACTGTGCAGAAAGGCACTGTTCTGGTCCACGGTCCGTGGCAGTTCATGTACTGTACTTGTGTATTGAGAGATTTTATTGCACCACTGAACTTAGGTTTGCCTATCCTTGCTTCTGTTATCTTGGAGAATGTAGCTAGATTTCATATATAAGCTAGAGATTATAGTCTTTGAAGGAAAAGCATTTATTTATTTTCTATACAGTGTAATTCTACATTTCCCTGTGACTGATGTGCAGTCAGACAGCAGAATATTTGAATCTTTTTCCTCCCATCACTATAAGTGAAAGCTGCTTTTTCAAGAGTTAATTGGAATCTGGAGAGGCCACTTGCTGCAGTGTACTGTTATCTGAATTTGGTCTAAACAGCAATATATAAGTAGAAGGCTTGCTCTGTGCTGCTCTCCCACTGTTGCAGTAGAAGTGGTTTTCAAAGGGAGGTGTTAATCTTTGGAGCAGTGTTCTCTAATCTACCTCAATGGCTCTAGAAGTTATGTTTGTATGTGTAGTCTCATAAAGCCAAAGGGAGTTGTTAATTGCTTTGTAACTGTCACAGCTCCTGATCCTTTAAAAGTGAAAATCACTACTATTATAATGATTTTTGTTTTATTTTTTTTTTTAGATACTGGTTTTTGTTTTTGTTTTTGTTTTGTTTGTTTGTTTGGTTGGTTTTGGTGTTTTTTTTTAGACAGAATACATTAGAAATTGTACCATTGGGCTGATCTGAATGAACAGTGGTTAATTTTTTGGTAACATCAACAATCGATTGCCATTTGCTTAAAAGCAGATAAAGTTGTTTTTTTTTTTTTTTTTTAATGTTGTTTAATATATTAGTTTGGCCAAGTATTCAATAGAAAACTCTACAGCAGCTCAGTCTTTCTGTCTTTCTAAACTCTTCAAGCTTCTTGAACTATTAATCAGTGTGAAACCTGGTCACGGTTTTGCAGGAAGCTGTGCAATCATGGAACTAGTTCTCCACTGTAATAACCTAGTGCATCACCAGGTGCCTTGTACCGTTAGGATTAGGCATAATGCTGATGGTGATGAGGCTGAAGATAACACACTTATCTTGTGCTTTTCATGTTTAAAGCACTTTAAAGTCAGTATCTAATTAATCTGTACCACAGCCAGATTAAATATTCCAAGTGGTTCTCCAGCTCGGTTGCTGTCATTATCAGTGCTTTGCAGGTGATGGGATATTCTGCCTTTATTCTTTAAATTCCTGCTGCACTTTGAAATCCTGCTGATTTTGTCATTCTGGCAGAAACCCCTAAAAAAATTGCTTTATTTGGAGCAAAATGAAATGCTTGACTTTGAGCAAGGTGTGGAAAACTAGGGCTGGAAAAGTGGAGAAACTTGAGTTCTGTCGTCTGAGTGTTCTCAAGGATTGCACTGGACTATCCCTTTTGTTCTTTGTACTAAGGGTCAGGATTAAGCATATTATAGTTGTGAACCAAGATTATGAAGCTTTTTGGGGGTGTATCCCAGGCACCTGTGCTACAAATAAGGCTCCTTATACCAGGTGTTTCCAAAATATCTCTTCTTTCAGTCTTGGAATGCTATTGCTGCTGTCAGCATTTGTGACATGCCCCCCTCCCCTTGTTTTTTTGCTTTGGTTTGGGGATTTTGGGTTTTTGGGGTTGGTTTGGTTTTGGTTTGTCTTTTTCTTTTTTTTTTTAATGCAAAACTGTTCTGTGAATTTGCACAGTGGTTTGGAAAATCAAAGGCAAGGGTTGGTTTGGTTTATTTTTTTTTCCTCCAGAGTAGGCACTGTGTATTTGGACCTTTTTTTTGTTGTTGTTGTTGCTGAGCTCTAGCACATGGTGCTGTCATGTTGTTAACTTCCAGCTCTCTCACCCTTGTGACTGAGTATTTTTCATATCTTGTTTTAATTTCTGTTCTTGGTCTTTATGGGAGAAAATTCGCACCACTTGTGTGCAGCTGAGGACAGAGGGGGGACTTAGACCGAACACTCAAATGTTCTGGTATAAATGGTGCACAATAACTGCACAAAGCAGGTTTGCTGTTACAGTCACCAGCCTTTGTGCATTCCTGAAGAAGTCTCCCGTATGACATATAAAAGTGAAATATGTTAACTTGCTCTTGCAGGCAGTTGTAGACAGAAAGGTAGGCAAGGACACTGATCTTTCCCTGTTCCTCTGGTTTTAAAGTTGAAGAACCAGTGACATGTAAAATCCTTCAGTAAGTTGTTTCTGTTATTAACTGCGGTATAGTGTTTCGAAACTTTTCAACCCTTTTATAATGGAGCTTTTGCATGTTTAAATAACCCTGCTAGGCAACTGTCTCATTTCCTATTCTAGTCGCCTTTGTGCGGAGTTCCGAGTATCCCCGACTGGCGTGCTGGGAGCGGTGGTGGAGCCCTCCTGTGGCTAGCTCAGTAAGTGCACCTTCCCACAAACAGCCTAAGGAGGTAGCACATCCTGGGCCAAATCTTGCTGGGATTACACTCTGTTAATGTTATAAAGGCACAGCAAAATGTTGATCGCTTCCCAGTTAATAAATTGGTACACTTAGTGCAGATAAATTGCGCTTCTGCGCGTGCATTCTGCTCATGCTTCTGTTTAATTTACCCTACTCCTTGTATCTCTGAAGAAGAGGGTACAGACAAGCAGCTCTAACAACCCATCCAACGATTTGGGCTCCAATCCTTGCAAGTTCTCAGGCCCTTGCCAGACTTTATTTGCAAGCAGTTGTATTGATCCTATTCTGCAAACTACCTTTTTGTGACAGCTTTTAAAAAATTTGGGCTTGAGAGATGATCTTGTTCTATTGGAATGGTTTTCTCAGACTTCAGTGGGAGCAGGGGTGAAACTTAAACAGGTAAGATTCCCCCCCCTCCCCCAACATAGCTGCTTTAATAAGGGCATATTGTCTCATCAATTTTTAAACGAAACTCCCTATAGAAATCAAAGAAGAGTTCTGCTGAAAAATCAATTGTACAGTATGACCCACCGTTACTGCATGTCTTATGAGATTGAGCTGCTCTCTTTGTAATTTGGCTTCTCTCCCACCTCCTGCTTTTTTTTTTCCTTCTCTTTTCTCTTTTTTTTTTTTTCTTTCCCCCTTTACTGAAGCAAAGCATGTGCAATCTCCTTTGGAGCACGTATTTAGGCATGCCATTTGATGGCTGAAACTGCTTCATTTCCTTTGGCTGTGGAGGATAAGTTAGCACCCTGTGAAGCTTTACCTCCTGCAGACACCAGAATAGTATGTGAAATATTTACCATTTTAATTGTGTAAGGCTTCATTGAAAACCTTATTTTCCTTGCTATGTGTCATTTAGAGAGGCAGTGCTGAACTATTGCTGAAAACTGGAGCCC